CGTACCGCGTCCGAAGACCCTCGTCTGTCTTGCATGACACCTCGTCTTTCTTGCATGACGAGTTGAACTGAAAGCAGGCAGTCATCTCTTTGTCGTACACTTCCAGGCCCCAGTACATATCCAACAGCCTCAGAAACTGCGGCCAATTTTCGAGCTGCTGATCGCGGAAATAAGGTCGTCTCTCTTCCACACAAGACATATTGCTTCCTGAGATGTGCTGATGCACTGACGGTATGCTTAGATGCAAATGTGTATGCCGGACTCGATCCCGAAAATTCCTTTCCATCAGCCACATAGATTTCCCGTACTGAAACAGACTGAGTCCAGCCATCTTCATTGACACTGCCTGCCTAACTCACGCATCCGCTCACTGGCTCACCCACTCACTGGCTCACTCAACATACAGACTTCATCAGCACCGCTTGCGATGTACTTGCGACCCTCCAGTCACCCCGAGCCCACCGCGTCTGAGCACGGAAAAGTCTAACGCTAGGCAACCCTCTCAAACCACTAACACAAGTCTCAAGCAACACAGCACTTAATTTGCTTGTTTGTTGCCAGTCCTTGCTCTGTGCTACGGCCCACAGCCCCAACAGGCACAGGGCAGCTGTGCTGCACACGCAATAGAACTTCAACACACAAGCTTGTTGGCGGTCCGCATCGAGCTTCCTTGCCCTGGGATCGGTTGGGCATCCCCCTCCCCTACAACTGCCCATACCGAGCTCAAGGAGGCTCGGGCTATGAAGCCACATCGAAGCCCGTCTTCCCCGACATTTGCGGCTCCCAGGTGCACTCCCGTCTCTTCATTCCGGGAACAGTATATGCCAGCAGACGGAAGCCGTAGACTCACATGAAATGAGGCATGGTCTTGATGCGAACTTGAGAGTCCTCGACACCGAAACCTGCGCAACTCCCCATTCACATACCCACGCCACTGTGCAAACAGGAGCAACGAGATGCAAGGACTACAAGTGCAGAGGGAAAGCCGGCCATGAGAAGCAACAGACAAGAAGACAAAACCATTCGTGCCGGGAAGAAGCAGCTTGATTGAACCTGTCCCCAGCCAGTCTTCGGCAAGGAGCACCTGACACGCTTAGACGACATCTGTCTTGCGGTTGGAACATGACCATTTCTGTCCAGCGAGGGCCATGCATGGAAGTACACACCCTCGCACACCACATGTGATAGGAACTTTCATCGCTGGAGAGTAGAGCTGAGAATTGTCTCTCGCAACGAAGGGTTTTCAATACTTGCACCGTTCATTCTCCTTCTTCTGGTCTACCGACCGAGACTCTGCCTTTTTTTCGTCAACCCCAAGCCCTAAGCCCTAAACCCTTTCAAGCCCTAAACGCTAAACCCTGCACCAAGCTTCTCCCATGTATGGAAACGTTTTGAAGATACCGGTGCCACTTCGGCCACAGCGTGAGAAGCAGCTCGCCATGATGCAGCACCTCCGCGTTTTTGCGGGGTTTCTTTGCCGGAGTTTAGGGCCGGGGTATATGATGCCTCTATGATGAAGGTTTTTAAGGTTACCTGCATGTGAGGCTCGGGGATTAGCAGTTTAGGGGGTCACGGGGCTTGGGGAAGCGATGCCATCCAAGCCTAGGCCGATGCAGTAAACCCGAAGCCCAAACCTCCTTGTAGGAGTATCTGAATAGAGAGCCGCGCATTCTTCTGAGACTCATCAGTTCATAAGGCACCTGGCCTGGGGCACGTCATTCAGCACGGCTTGCAACCAGGTGGTGCCACTGTGTTGAATAGAAACAACCTCGGTGCTGACAACTACGGGATGGATGTGGGCGTTTCTGAGAATTTCAAGGGTCCCTCACAGGGCCTCCTGATGACTGGTTAACACTGGTGATGTTACTGTCAAGGGTCTATGCGGGATTCCGTATCTTCGGAACATCAGATGCCTGAGTCTCAGTGCGAAGTGTCTGGGAGCAAGAAATGGACCTAAATCGCTAAACTGCTAAACCCTGAACACTGCCTTGACACCCCCACAAACCTGTCAGCTGAGCTGGCGGCGATGAAGGGCCGGGGTCGCGCAAAGCAGCGCGGACTTTCAGAGAGGGGTGCATCACACGAACGAAGATCGCGCTGTAGGAGCAGATCTACCTTAGCCAAAGGTCGGACTGTCGCCGCTTTGTCAAAGCTATCCGATAGCTGTCTCTGTATTTTGCGCGGGATGACTACAGCTGTCGAAACTTCTTCACACATCCATTCGGCTGGCAGGAACTGCACGCAACGACTGACCAGCACAAGTGCAAATGTCACAACAGCCACGAAATGCAGGCGGGATCACAGGGCCCTCCGACTGTGGAGAAGTCCGCAACGACACTGTTTCTTTGCCTGCACCACGTTAAGAAGCCCACTAACTCACCACGGCATCACAGCACATAAGAACACTTATCGGCCGTTCCCAAATATGAGGGAACAACGCCATCTGCCGAGGTACACAATGGATTCAACAACTGCCACTTGCTCGTCAGCAGGATGAAAGGCACGATCAGCAAAATCGAAAGAATTGCTCTCTTGTAGGTGCATCCATCCATCATGGCAAAGCCCAGGAATCGATATAGGGTTTAGGGATTCGGTTTTCTGGTTTATGATTCGAACCTGCAGCCAAATGACCTGACATACACTAAAACATACTACTGTTTCCTCGCGAAAACATCGGGCATGCTTGACCACAGTGCAAATGCACTTTGAATAGCACGTGTCGTCCTGTCAGCGAAAACCGAGTTCAACACCCCAAATCCAGTCGGTTATGACTGCAACAAGTCCAGGCAGCCTGTGGATAGCGCAACAAGCGACAGCCCAAAATGCTTAAGGAGTTTAGGGTGCAGGGGTGATGGGTTAAGGTCTGCTGAGCCGAAACGTGCCATGACTCGTCACATGCAAAGCTGACGCAATACCTCAGGATACTGGGCGCACCAGTGCCTGCACACACTTAATCGTGGACTGAAAGGACTTATCCACCTCTCCTGCTGCCTCAATTCAGCGAAGCACCAGCACCTTCATGGCTTTCTTCTCGGAGTTGCATGCAGAATCAAAGAGACTTGTTGCATAGTCGATGCCATCCACCCCATCTGGACCATCATGGAAAGCTTCAACAACTGCTGTTCCATTGCTTCTACCTTCTTCGCCTTTTCCAGCCCTGCCTTGGGCTTGCCTTTCGGATTAGCACCCTTCTCTCAACTGGCTGCGTTCTTGGGTTTTTGCCCTCGGATGAGATGTCAGGCATGGGGAACCTCGCAACCTGTTTTTCGCCACTTGCCGGAGGGTCGGCACGCGGACTGACCTGGGTGGTTGGAGTTTTTTCGAGCTTTGCAAGCTTTTGCATAGTTTATCACTGTCTTACTGAGTGTTATGCAGCTCTATCAGGATTCACAGGCTTAGTACAAGCTTATACCGTGTTGAATACGGGCTACACACTGATGGGTCTATAGGGGCTTTCAAGTCATGCAGAAAGACAGACACTGCTGACAAAAGAATTAATCCTCACGTTCATCAGTGTGCCCTAAAGCCCTAAGCCCGAATCCCCTGCCTTCAGCCCTAAACACTCACACTCCTGAGACGACAGTTGCAATTCATGTCCTCCAGGCCGTTTTGGCTTTCAGAGTCCATCGGATGGATCTGTATCGTACATGTGATGCCTACACTCTGTAAGGGCTTCAGGAGTTGTTCTTGTCACGGGCAAGTTGGTAGGACACGCCCGCTACCTGGGGATGGACCCGGATTCGCGACCTTCTGTGGATTGCTGTGGAGGCACGGTCAAAACAAGCGAGTGCCCCAACTGGGCAAACCTGCTGAAGCCCCTTGTGATGGGGATTAGGGACCTGCGTCTTGGAACACGTGCTCGAGCGGATGCGATCGCTAAAGCAGATTGCGGTCCCGTTGGTCAATACAGTAGATTCTCGGGGAGAGGCCGCGAGGAAACGCCCGTCGACACATTGATAAAAAGCACACTCTGTCCTGGGTGGGCCACAATTGGTGCCAGATGACCTGCAAATCTCAAAAGGAGGCAACCTCGAGATGAAGACGCTGCTGTCAAAAAGCGCGCTTTGTAGGGGAAAAAAAGTAGCGGGACTTCAAAGGACCGACGGATGGGACGCACCCGATTCCCTCCCTGGCTTGTCTTGATCTATAGAACTTCAGAACTTTAGGGTTCAGCAAATTTGGCAACATGTAACTAGCTGGGTGAGGCATCACGGAAGTGATGTGCCCAGCACTGTCTCGCAATCCGATGAAATAATGCAGCCGCGCGGCAAGAACTCCAATGTGTTCCAGTGACTGGCCTGGCACAGGACTTATGATCACGCAGGCACTCCGGCTTGGATTGAAGTTACACCCTCTTTGGCTTCGGGATCCTCCTCACACTGCAAGCTATGCTATAGAAACTTTAGCATGGAAGACTTTCTTGTCGACCAAGGACCGGGCTTCACGAGCTTCGATGAATTCAGAAATCTGCGGACACATCAGCGTGACTTAATTTTTTGCTGCTGCCCTGCGCGTCGCACGGAACAACCGAGGATCGGCCACAAAAACTCCAAAAATCATTAGACAAAAAAAGGACTTCTTCACTTCGCCTCCGATTGCAACTCAACTCAATTGTGTATGCTGAATTCAGGAGTTTCTGCATGTCTTGCTTTGGGCTCTGATCTCGGATCTCACACGGCAGCTGGAACGCTCGATGGGAAAGCTCGTGGATTTAGCAAGCACTGGACTTGCAAGAGAGCCGCGTCCCATGACATGAGGAGGTAGTCTCCTGAAACGGCGGATCCGGCTAGGTACAGTAGGTTGCAATGGATCTCCGATGAATTAAGACGTCCCCCAGAGAGGGCTGTAGGAGAAAGGTCTGAATACCACGACCTAAACTTCATGGGCTCAGGGCCCCGTGCAGAAGCAAATTCAGCCTAAAGGTCCGAAGCGTTCAGGTGACTCTACTGGCACTCCATGACTTGCAGGCCTGAAAAACAAGGAGATAACATCGGATCAGCTTAGAGCTCGACTGCATGGGCTGCAGCACGGGCTGTGCTGGCACGGGCCTGCGCGAAGCTGGGACCCAAGAAGCGTTGCTTCGAGCCCTTCTTCATGCCCGTGTCGGTCTGGGACAATTGCGAGTTCGGCTTGCACTGGGAGTACCACTCGTTCCCAAAAGTGCAGGTGTAGCCGGAGGTGCAGCAAGTTGGGCCCTTGTGGTTATTCCCTCCGCACTGTGCCCAGGCCTTGGCGCAAGCCGTAGTTGTTGTGGTTGTGGTTGTCGTCGTCGTGGTCGTAGTGGTGGTTGTCGGACGGTCAAAGCTCAGGCAAGTGAAGCCTGTAAGTGGCTTAGAGGCCTGAATACCCTCCGGACGGACCCACACCTCACATCTTCGTCCCGAAAACTCCACACCTTTGCACTCTGCCGTGAGCTCACAAATGTCTCTGCACTCTCCCACGTTGGCGGCTGTCTTCACAACGTAGTAGCTGGGAGAGTTGTCGCCGAGGCTGGCCCCTCTGCAGGCGTGGCCGCTGCCTCCGACGGGGGCCCAGCCAGGACCGAGTGTTGTCGTTGTGGTCGTCGCCTCAACTCCGAAGCGCAGGCAGGTGAAGCCAGTGAGAGGGATGGAGGCCTGGATCCCCTCTGGCCGAGTCCACACCTCACACCTCCCCTTCGAGAACTCAATCCCATGGCAACCTGAAGTTGCGACACACTTGGCCATACAGGCGTCGACATCAGCGAGGCCCTTGATGATGGTGTAGTAGCTACCAGAGTTATCACCGGGAGCACTCCCTCGGCATGCACGGCTCTCCCCACCATCCACCGGAATCCAAGACTTGACGACGGTTGTGGACGTGGTGGTAGTGGTCACAGCCGGCACGGGATACAAGGACTGGGTGGTGCCAATTTCTCCGAAGGCCACATTGGCAAAGGTCACGGAGCCATCGGGATGGGCACTGCGCACACTCCGCGGCAAGCTCTCCGGCTCGCCTTGACAAAGCCCACGCTGCACCCCCGGATCTGTGCATGGCTTGTCTCTGGGGAAGCAAGAGTCCAGCCACATCATGCTGACATCCACATCATCCCAAAGCGAAAAAGCTGCGACGTGACCGCGATCAAGCGATTCGCCCATGCCCTTGTTGCCACCCTTCTCCTTGAAATCGTTGATATCCCCGAAGAGCGTCTTCTTGTCCTCGCACATCTGGTCGGTGATGGAATCCGGGTTCCCTGGCAAAATCGGGATGGGAGGACTCTCGAAGACTTTCTCATCCTGGATGTAGAAGCGTCGGATTTCCGACAGGTCACCCTGGTCGGTGCCGTCCGTGGTGAGGAACTGGGTCACCACCGTCATTGGCTTTGAAGAGTCAACGGCGAAGTTCGGGGAGGCACCATAGAATGTCTTGTTGCCCATTCGAAACGGGTTGATGTCGCAGCCATCCTTGTCACAAACTCCATCATAACGCTCATCGCTGTCGTTGTCCCCGCACTCCGTGCCTTCGCACATGTACTGCCCTGGAGTGTCGATGTCGCAGGGGTGCGGAGTGTAGGCGGTGGCCATCTTGTTTGCCTCCCAGATGTCCATCTCGGCACAGCAGGCGCCGTAGTGCCCGATGCCCATGTTATTGGAGAAATCCTTGGGGTTGGGCTTCCAGTCCTTAGAGTTGGCCTTGCCCCCAATGAACTTAATGTCGTGTGGGCACTGCGCGTCGCAGTAGCCGGTGCCATACTTGGCGCCAGCTGCGTTGTTTCCAACTCCCTTGCCACCATCTGCAGCCATCTCGGAGAAGTACATGGCTCCTTGAATTGCGGGATACGACCACTGACGACCACTGAGCTCTTTAGACTTGCTGCCTAGGCTTTCACATCTTATCTCTCATTCACTGTGGCCTACTTCGTCTTGCTGATATTGTGAGCTTTGGTAGAATACACACAAGCAGCCTGTGCTTGTCTAGAGGTCTGATGCTTGAACCCATAGACTGTGGCAATACTTTCCGTAGCTGCTGTACAACAACGCGCCCACCAAGACTTTTGCGAGGTTTGCCTCCAAATTCATTAAGAACAGTAACTGAATCATTCCCGTGGCTCCGTTCATCCCACACTGCACCTGTGAGGAATCCACATCGAGCGCAAACTCGCGGTTCTTCAGCTTGAACATCATATAGGTATCATCATCCTCCAAGAGAAAGAGCCGTGAACCAACATTCGCACCGGTGACGAAACCAAGGCGCACACCCCCCGGGATGCTTGTGATGCCGTAGGTATTCTGATACTGCTGAGCATCCACGCCTTCAAGAGCACAATTGCTAGCACATGTGTCACCATCCGTACAAATGGAAGTGTCCCATTGATTTCCCGTGTAGCAATTGGTGTAGCCCTGAGTGGTGTGAATCCAGCGCCAGTTAGCATCCAGCACCAACTTCTTATCTCTGGTGCTGCAGCCCCCTGCCTTCGTGCATTCCTTCACGGATATGGTGGGATTCCCTTCCTGCTTAAGCGTCCCTGCCTGCTGTGCTGAGGCGGCTCGCAGGACTGCAAGCAAGACGAAACAAGAGACTGGAGACATGGCAATGCAGAGCTTCTGCAAAGTGACAACCGGTGGCTAGCCTGATCCGATTTGCTCTGGAGCCAAACTGTGAATGGTTCGACATCATCAGGATCAGCTTGGACATTGTAGCGCAACAGTTAACTATGAGGACTGCTGCTCTTGAAGAGGGTCATGAAGTAGTCAAGACTCCATCCCAAAGCATGCGACGCTCTCATCCGAAAATCAGGCCCGAGACCGACATTTCTCCCTCTTCCGAAGCACAGCCTCTGCTCGTGCTGGCGAGGTGAGTGGCTGTCCAAGCACCTGCCGGATCTGTTCACAACCCTTCGACTAACATCCAGGCAGGGACCAAAACACCATCGCACCATCCTGAAAGAAACTCTGACATGGGTATCTGCGAAGATCCTGCCGCAGATCACCATTCAGCTTTGGCCATGACCTGGAAATCTAGAGGCCGGCATGACATTATGATTAACTTGGAGCTCAAGAAGCTCCGGTCACAAGGTGAACCGGGTGAACGGTGTTCTCCTTCCGCTTTGCGATCCTTTGATCTACCCCTAAGCTGTAAACTTCTCAGCCCTGCTCAAAGGCTTACCAGGGCCCAGCATGCTGATATTCTACTTCCCTACTTCCTAGTGCACTGGTCATATGCTGCAAACCAGGCCTGTCCGTACAGCATGCGTCGTGTGCCCCGTCTGCAGCCGCTCGCACGACGCGCTGGTAGTTTTGCAATCTCGTGTCTTGTTGGGTGAAAGCTGTGGTCAAGAGAAACTTCACTGCAGTCGAGCTCTGAAATCCGGTAGCATGGTCCTTAAATTAGATGCGGTGCCACAGAGCTCCATAGCCTCTCCCAAGCCGGCGAAGGCAACACGGGGATGGACGAGGACGTCGAGGTGCCCAAGCACGCTGCAACGGAACCGCGGTGGGCACCTAGAATACTGACATATTCGACTTGATTGTTGGAGCTCAATGCTGCTTGAGGGAACTTGAGGGTAAAAGGAAGCAACTGGTAGAGGTTCGGCTCATCACGGGGTCTGGACAGGACCTGCTTGCACTGAACTTGCCCTCAAACACGGCAGGCAGCCTTTTGCTTCGACGGCCTGAGAAGCCCAAAGCCTCAATGCCTTGCCCCGCGGATCCCCAACCCTGATCCCTTCAAAGCCAAATGACGTCTACAAAGCACTGCTTTCCCCGACTCGCCATGGCGAGATGTGTCATAAAGAGCAACTACACAGAGCTGGTTTCAACGGGACACAGTCCTCTGGGTTGAACCGTCGGACGACTTACAATTGCGAAATCTTGCCTTCGCACAATCCGGGTCAACCTGGCGTTGTCAATGTGCCATGCGTGTTGTGCGCTTGTCCTCCAAAAAGTTTTGAGCCAGAAAGGTGATAAAATTACCGGGAGACAAATCGGAAACAATTGAAACTCATTACTTGCAATATCTCGATATGTACAAAATATTCAAAGTCTCAAGCATCCGATCTCACATGTCGTAAGACTCACACGCAGAATTTCTCGGAATGTGGTGGGCTGCGATGTTCGCAGCAAACGGATGCACCCCTTCCGAAGACGTTGGCAAGAACGAGCGCAGGAATGCCAAGAATGTTACCAGCTTCGTCGGTCCATTCCGGCGTCCGGCGGCCCGGACATTGGGGACAACCAGTGCTTCAAAAGCTGGCACGGAGCTGAAGAAGACTTGGTTTTCAGAACCCGAAAACGAAACCAACCAAAGCCAATCTAACACGAACCTTGGCCTTTCTCTCAGAAACAAAGTGTGGCATGCTCTTATGGGGTGCTTGTGGCGTACTTCTTCCAAACAAAACCCTGTTCTGAAACTCGTCTTCCAGAAAACCAGGAAAATCAAGCAACGTCTCAAAAAAACAATCATCATCAACTCTACAAATCACGACCGCTTCTCTCGTGGAGAGTTCACCATTAAGCTTCAATCATGTGCATGCTCCAGAGTCTTCAACCAAGCGTGCAACTCTCCAAAGGAAAACGCAGCCTCCAACACATTCATCGGTCAAAGACATGCCGTGCCTGTGGAAACCATATGGCAGGCATGCTGATATTCCATCACATGTCCACACGCACTCTTCGTCTTCTGCAGCTTTGGTCTTTGCACTGCACTGCATAGTCATCTTGCTCTCTCTTGTGCGGGTGCCCCTTCGCTCGACAGAA